GATCAACAAAATTATTATGCACTCACCTCTGAATTGATGAATCAATGTGTTCAATCATCTCACAACTTTTGTATTGCTCTGGATCCTCTAGGAATCTAACCATTCCGTCTTTCTGATTGATAGTCGCATAAATCTCACCGTCTTCAATCTAAATATAAAACATGACCAACCCCTTTCAGGTCAGATGCCTACATGCATACAACAGAACTACAAAATCCAAATCCCAAACAAAACAGTAAGCAAACCAGTTTATTACCATTTGAAGAACATGCATTTCTGCCTCCTTGGGACTCCTTAGTTGGACGGCACTAGCAATATCTTGAAGTGAAAGGGTGAGATAAGTCTGAGTCAATCTTTGAATATTGCGTTTATATATAGACGCCACAACTTGCTGCACCAATCCAAGATTATTGTCCTGTAAATTGAAAAGCATCAAACCCAATTAAATTCACACAACAGTTTCTTGTGGCAAATAATCAGACAGGGAACTCTATCTCTTTAGGTAAATATTACTCCGTAGTTTATTAGCATTATGTTAAAACACATCAGCTCTCATAAATAATGAAGTATTATATACTGGCCGACAACAGAAAACTCACATTTTCATACTTGTCTCTGTTTTTCTGTACACATGTCTCAAGCTCAGAGATTTTTCCAAGGCTATAACTGTTTGCCAGATCCAGGTAGAGCTGCTCAAAGACAGGAAGACAAGGTTTTTTCATGAAACTTACAGCATATTTCCTCATTTGCAATATGAAGTACAAACACCAGAAGTGGCAGCTTAGCTACTAAAAATACACCAGAGGTTTTAACTTGAAAAGTTCAGCCGCTGCAGTTGAGTTTTCAGATATTAGATGCAGCTACCTAATAACTAATAACACACCTGACAGTAGTTCTTCAGATTCCTTTGAGCCACAGAAGATGCATACTTGGGGAAGCTGGTAGAGAACTGCCACCACAAGTAAAAGAAGATCGATTTCCGATACTCAAGAACAGAGCATTAGCAATGGAAGAATGGTGTAACATGTAGCAAAACAGACCTGCCCAATCTTGATCAGTGAAACTAGAATGTATTTCTTGTATGCCTCAACTGCTATAGCATTTAAAGTGGACATTGGGGATGTTACTACCTAAAAACATAGTAAAAGATGGTAAACAAAATAAATTTATTTTAACTTCAACCATACTACCAGAAAGGGAAAAAAGACATATTTCTCTTCCTCCCTGACCAAAACTTAAGTATACAATACAGTCATACATTATGGAAAAGCTCCAAGGCTTTCCGAAATTCTTTCTGTCCAATACAAATCATCCCCCTGCAATAATGACCAACAAGAAAAGGCCAAATTAGTATATATCCACTGCAGAGGCATAGTCATTTAAACATCCAAAGAAGTAATCAGAGAGATAACTGAAAAGGGATGTGCACCAATCAAGCATATAAACTTGAGTAGGTTAGAATTCAAAAACAAGAGTTAATTAATCATCATAGAAAACCATCAGAAACCATTGTTTTGCTCAGATTCTATATTGTGCCGATAACGAAGTAGAAAAAAAGCTTCCCACATTCTAACCACTGATCTACCCAGGAGCCATCACATTAATCTTAGCTGCCTGCTCAGGAGCTCTAGGCGTGCTAGATGCCCCTCAAGCGAACAACAAATTTCACACCACTACTCCATGTCTCCAACACAATCAACCAAACTTGTGAAATATTATTTGCCCTGAAGTGGATTGACTAAAATATGCTTGATACCAAAACATGTAATGAGGAAGAGGTGATATTATGTACTTGATGTATAGAGCTTCATGCATAAATAAGTTGGTATATTCATATTAATTGTATAAAAACTATCAGATAGTAGATCTATTGAATTTTTTTTATCGTTCTAAGGTAGAAATAGACAAGAGATGGGATGAAAGATCACAAGATTTCAGTAATTTGCTCAACTCACCCATAATAGCAATATAGGAAAAAGTCCTTTGGCTGATCGACCTCAAGTATGTCATCCTCCAAAATAGAAAACCCAATACGATAACACTTCGCAAGTACACAAAGAAGAAGAAATTCAGGATGCAAGGGTGTTAATTGCTCAGACGAAAGCTGTAGTTTCTTAATGGCTGTCCGCATGGGACCCACACCTTGCAGAGGGGCTTTAAGTAGCAGAACTTGATCCTTGAATCTTTTACAAACGGATATGACTGGCAAAATGTAAAAAATAAAGCAAAACGAACCATAAGAGTAAAAATAACAGCAATGATAATGACAGTAACCAAAAAAATTGCTAAGGAATGATTTAAGTACACTTCTCAGGTGCCAGAAGGATTTGATCAGCAGCACATTCATCAATAAATCTAGCCACACAAGTAACTAGTTCAGGGGCTTGTTCTGTTGAAATTGGAGCAGACATGGATGCATCCCTGTTTATAACAAACACACAATGAGTCAAAACTCGTGACAAAAGCTCTACCGAACAAAAGACTACCACAGTACAAAATCACTGCTCGTATTGAACTAGGTCAATATTGTTTTAGCAAGAATTAAATCAATGACATGCATTAGCATACCGCATAAAATTTCAAAGATAAGTCACAAAACAGTGAAAGTGTCCAAGTTGGGAACAATTTACTTCTTTTATACTCCGCATTGATAACGAATGAAAAGGGGAGCTTCAGAATAAGGAAATAAAAGGCACGAATTTCAAAGTTCACAAATGAAAAATACAAACTATCTCCGTCCTCAGTTCACAAATAAATAGCTACAGTATGACTTTTGAGCAGTAAATTGCGATCAAAAGAGGGAAGCAGGGACAACGACAGAAAAGGGGGCTTACAGGATATACAGGTAGCCCAAAGAGTGCTCAGTAGGGTTGAGTTGGGAGAGTAGAGTAGGCAAGCGGGTCGACTCGGAGCGGAGCAGATCATCGGACTGTTTCAGAAAGGCGTGAAGTTGAGAGAGGTCTTGGGCATTGTTCGATAAGCCTTGGATTTGAGCCAACACCGATTCCACAGAGCTGATGCTCAGATTCATCTTTTCTTCCACTACGTCTTCTTCCTCAGTTCCACTTCTCTTCTTTTCTCTTCTCTTCTTTATCCTGGTTTTTTTGGAAGCATAGGACGTTAACTGATATAGGGCTTTATAACGCGGTCCAATAGAATATTTAGAGCCTAAAGCGAAACATAGACTAACCCATTAGGAGATAAAAAAAAATTAGTTTAGAAGATAATAATACGGAGTAATTGGAACTTTGGAAGTATAATACGAGTAGGTATATGACTTGCTCAATTATCAAGATTAAATGTGATGCCTGATGGAACAAATGTTTAATTATTTTTAATAATATTATCGTCAACTACTTAATTATAGCTAATTATTTGTACACATTTTCCTTTTACTTCATTAGTACGCAGTAAAATTTTTTAGTTGTATATGACTTGCTCAATTATCAAGATTAAAATAAAATCTGCACATTTTAAATCAACTAATACGTCCATTTGTCTCTCAGATGTATGCTATACGGATTATAAATTAGATTTGCAAGTCTAAGGGGTATTGCAAAATTATATGGTAATTCTCGAAGTATTTATAGATTTTAAACATTATTTTCGAGATACTTTGTATCATAAAGTTTTGATCAGTGTACATATAAAGATATTATAGTTGATGACCTCATTCAAGGGTTTTACAGGATTTAGGGTTTCGATAATTAGGGAAGTATTCAATTATACTTCGCGCATAAACATACTTTCAAGTTATTGAGTTCTCGAGCATGGGAATTATAAAATTTGATAAAATCATTTCGAAATTCAATAGATTATGTATGTAAATGAATTTGAAAGGCTTTATGGGATATGTTTAGCTAAATGTTAGTTCCAAATGAATTTGGAGTCCCCTAACATGCGACGTGTGAAATCATATTTAAAATGAATAAATTGAGAAAAGGAAGTCGAATAAAAACAAATCAATCATTCGAATGTAACTCATCTAACTCAAGAATTATATCATTCTTGAACACTCTAATTCATGTCTATTTGAGCCACCTTCTCTTTTCACACATCCTACGCAACATGCACACCTTGAATGTGATATTGTTTCATCATCCAACAGTTTATGACATATAATAATGCAAGTCTAATTATTGTTCGATCACATGCACTTGAATATAGTTGCCATATATCTTAATCAATTTTTTTTAATTTAATATGTGAAAGAAAATATTGTTAAGGATCTCACATTGCTCATATTGTTTACAAATCTATAAGGAAAAATATATATGGGTCCTAATGCCATATGCTTCCTCTTTTCCCTACAATGCCTCAACTCCCCTCTCACTCAAAAGATGCCGACATTTCTACAATCTATTACTACTTCCTTCATTTTAATGATGCTTATTTTGGTTTTGCCAATAATAATAAAGTTTTTGAAAAAAAAAATTGTAATTAAGATTTGAATATAATAAACTAAAATGTTATAGACCACATATTTGAAAAATAAAACAGGTAAAATGTGACGGAGAGAAATATTTTTTTATTTTCTTGGCTAATTTGTAGTAGTGGTTGATTTTTTGTCCAATAACTTCTCGTGTTTCTAATCATCAAATCAGTATTATGGAATCACACATTCACACCTCAATTATATTATATTAACGTCCAATGCTCCATTTTGTTTAAAACTTCACTATAGAATCTTGCTTATCATATTTTTGTTTTAGTAGTTTTTAAGAAATTTTAATTTTTTAGGTTGTAATATACCGTACACTTAATTTCGGGTGTGTGGGGAATTTGGGATATTGATCTGAATCAGAATTATTGAAGTTGGTCTTCTATGAAAAATTACATCAGAGATGTGGTTATGAACTTATAATTGTGGTTATAAATTTATAAAGAGAATATCTTTAATAGTCACATGATTTGTAAATATATAGTTAGATGACTTGTATAGATATTATTCAACTAATTGTAATAATAGTATACAAAAAGGACAGATACTAACGACTTTCTTTTTCCCCTTTTGGTATGCCGGAAAATATACCAAATGATACAATACTACTTCTATTACTACACTGCCCTATGCTGCTTCCCTAACGTGAGAGAGATTGAATCAACTGAAGAGATTGAATCAACTGGTCCAAATATTGGTGACTACCTCCTAAGCTGCAAAAGTGTCTGGATTCAGTTTGGGAGATTGAAGCACACAAACGTCACCCGACTCATTATCCTGCCGCACGTCTATCCAACCTCCTGTTTTTAAAACCTGCAAATGATACATACATGTTGCTGCTGAATTTCATATCTCATCTCAATCATAATTAATACATGTTTGGTCAAGTATTTTTCTTAGGTGAGTAATGAAAGAGTGAACATTGATCACTGGCTAGATGTGTACCTGAAAGGCTAAAAACAAAATGAAGAGCTGTTTTTTAGCAGTGAATGTTATTAGCCTTATAATCCATTAGCAGAAGAGATCTTGTAATTAAGAGGCATGGCATGGTGTAATAAACAAACATGAATATAAATAAATGGACCAAACTAACACCCACCAATATCTCAAAGAACACTTTTGCGCTTTCTGTTTTGGTTTTTCCTTCAAGTGCACATGACAACTTAACAGCTTCACCTTTTCGAACTGAAAAGTGTCTAAGCAGAAACATTGCAACCTTTCTGTAAGGGGAGAAACCAAAATGAGTCAGAAATCTTGACCAGCACTTACTTGAGCTACAGATTTGATTGAAGTGATTGTTACAACAAAACAAAAAATGCCGGAAATTAGTAAGGATGTCCTTATCAATTGTATACCTTGTTCTCGAATGACATCTGTCTGCAAACAGGATAAGACACACATACACACATGTAAGAGAACAAACAGTGGTTGATGTTATTATGACTATTAATGACATCTGAAATTCCAAAAGAGCATTTAAGAGAACACTTCCTTACATTTCTCTGGGATGTCCCCTTGAACTGAACTTGTTTCCTGAAAATGAACCAGTTAGCATGTTTTAGCCTTCCCACAAGTTATTAGAATGCATAATAAACACCGTTTAGTTTAAAATGCATCGATTCTAGAACTTTCCTTAGTAATTATTCAGCAAGTGATGCTTGTATATATGAGGGATAAAGCTACTAAAGAGAAACGTGTTTTACCTCATCCATCAAATCAATACCCAGCTCAAAATCCTCAGTTTCACATGCAACCTTTTGCAACATACTTTTAACTGAGGTTGGAGGCTCCATTATGTCCAGTTCCTCACTTCCTTGTACCTCGTGGAATCTACATGGGACTGAAATGGCTACTGGTGTTGAAGGAGCAATTGGAGTTTGCTCGCACTGGGATCTATGTTTGGAGGCTGGAGATACTGGCGGTGTACCACCATTCATCTCAGGTGTTTCCACACCATCATCTGGCACAGTCTTATTCACTGCCATCCTGTGAACTAAAATACCAGTGTCCACCAAAGCACCTGACAAGCACTCAAACAGTTAAAAAGAACAAAAATAATAAAAAACAAAAAAAAATTAGATTAAAATTCTGAACTTACTGCATGGAATCAGAGGCTCCAAAAGACTTCCAGGAAGAGAGGAGAGCTTCTCATATTTCCAGGCAAACAATGGACTGTGAGGCGCTTTTCTTCTTTTGCATACCAAGTCGTCTGGGTTATCTAGCCAAGACTTATACTCTCTGCAGTTTCATGAATGGATATGCGAACAAAACTGAATGAAAACGTACACAACCCAACAGCTAAGCCACCCCATGCTAAGTTATTTCTGTTTGGATTTAAATAATAATCTTTCCATAGGCAGACAACATTATCTAGGCAAGTATAAATAATCTCGGGATGATTGAGCAGAAATTCGACTGTGTCATGATTTGTAGAATTTTGGAAAATATATATTTGAATATGCAAACATGCCCTTGGATCACTGCAATCAGCACATCAAAAGTACTACTGTTTCAATGTATGTAAAAAAGATTAATATAGTCATATAGAGAGTAGGTTTTGATTACATACTTATTAGAGATCACAATAGGATTATCAAATATACACTTCCGTTTCTTCAAAGCCCTTGGTTGCTCCTTAGTGGCTGGAGTCCGAACAGACATCACATCCATTGATGAATTGGCTAAATAAAGAGGCAATAGCGTCAACTACTATCCTGAGTATATCAACTGACAATGAGAAATATATAAATTGAAGTAAGGTAATTGTAGAACAACTCCACATATCAGTTTCATTTCCACGGTATCTATCCAAATGGTATGATTTTACAAACAACAAATCAATAAAAACAACCAAGCCTTAGTCCCAAAAGAGTTTGGGACTGGCTGATGTGAAATCGGAAATTTTGTATGAACTATGAGCCAATCAAATATTAAATCAGGATGCCTACCAGGACATTTAGAATCTGGGGTCACATCAACACAAAGGGAGGCCTGGTGATTTTCTGAAGATTGATGTTCTCCGCTGTTCGAGGAAGGCATTTCTGGCATATTAATCTGTCCCACATCCCCAGACGGCTTTTTATATGAAGATTCATCAAGACGTTCCATGCCACTTACAGGCACGTTGGTCTCAGAATGTTTTATTTGCTCCCGAGCAAAGGCGGCTTCGTCAACATCTTCGTCGTCAATTATCATAGGCTCCAAACAATCTTCTAATCTAAATAGACAGTTTTCCTTGATTTCTTTACGGTTGTAAATATCAGAGCCCAGATGTGGTGTTTGCTCATCACCAGTTTGAGTTTCATTAGAATCCTCCGGATCATTTTGCATTTTACTCTTGATCCCTTCAAAAGTCAGAGGTTCTAATCGCTCTTCCAAAGAGATCCTTGTCAAACAATGCTTTTCCATGGCTTCATTACTTGTTGAGCCACCATTGACATCACGCTCAGCAAAGTAAGCTGAACTTAAACTACAAAAGAACTCATCCTCATCAACCATGCAAATGTCATTATGCCTAATAATAATAATGATAATAATATCACTAATATAAGTACATGGCCATGAATGGAACCTAATACTTACTCTCTGAGTGGAGTGAGATTTGGGGAATATGCTGGAGATCGAGAAATCTCTACTTGACCATGATACTGCAAAATAATAATTTATATATTGAGTCTGTGTTTTCTTATCATATCTTATTAAGGATTTGGAAATCCCACCGTTTAAACAATTATTGATATCCCATTTGTCTCAAAAAGTAATGATGTAACTACACACTACCCTAGCTCAAATCATTTTTGCATTTTTGAAAAATCATACTTTTGAAACCCCTAGTTAATTATAAACACTGTGTTCAACCCTCTAGTTTTAGACACTTCCATGTTTGGTCCCTTTTTTGTAGCGAAGTGTCATTTTTAACCTTACCACAGAAAATGTGACGATAATACACCGTGTAGAGTATGAAATGCCAAGGATACAATGTAACTTTACACTTTATAGTAGTATGTTTTTAATTGCAGCCCTGAGATTGATCAGTTCAATTTACACTATTTACCTCTTAAAATACACCCATTGTCAAAGAGGTGAGTTCAAGGTTGGTAGAAACAAATAAACACATGTATCCAAATATTACACTTAAAGTTCTATTCAACAAAATAATAATTTAATCTGTAAATCATACACAATGTAAATATAATAAATGAATAATATGTCGATCAAACAAAACATGAGAAACGAAGTAATAGCTAGACAGCAATACATATCCACTATATCCCATAAGGACAAAATGAATTAAAACAGCCTAATATAGTGGAGTCATACGCCTCATACTTCAACTCGAAGAGGGAAAATTTGAAAAAATAATGGAGGTATGCATAAGAAAGATGTTTTGTTATGGAGTACGGAGCACATTACACTAGATATTCAGATATAGCCCAGGCAAACTTTATATGAAGAAATACAGATGTTCAATTCACGAAAGACTACAACACAGAGTACTACTGAATACCTTCTCAGATAAGCCAAGCCTAAAGCGATCGCTCTTCCATGCATCTGGTAAACAGAATTGCTAAATTATGTAAATGAAAGTAGTATCAAGGTTTAAAAAGGCGGTTTCTGGTATCAAGGCGGTTTGTTCCTAAGAGACGAGGTGTAAGCCTCAAAATATATAGACGTATAAAAATTAAAATAGTTAAACTAGTAACAAACAACTAAAGATAGTTATAACCTATAGTTATAAAGGAAACACATATGAGCTGGTACCAGTAAGTCATTAGAACTCAAACATAGAAACAGAAACATCACACACGAACAGACATATCACACACAAAAAACATCACCCAAACTGAAAGATGAATAGAAAGTACACGTTAGGGTATTAGGGTTTAAATGAATAAAAGACTTCTTAGGGATTAAATGAAAACCTAAGCCCTGATACCTAGTACGCTTCACCTTGAGGCGCGACTCAAAACCCGCTTCTTAAGATCCTTTTTAAACGATGAGTAGTATAGCATAATATCAAAGACTTAGATTACCTGAAAGCATGATATCTTCATCTGGTCTTACATGAACACTGCAAACCCAAGAATGTAAGCATAAGGTGGTGAAGAATGTCAAAACATGAATTCAAGCAATTGTAGCAAAGGGAAAACTCGCAATGCTTGTTATAGGGTAACTTTATAGCTCACCCGCATCTGTCTTGATCATCCAGAACTCCCAACTCAAAAGCGTCAAGTTCAAAACTCTCCGGGATAGAGATTGAGTAGTGAGATGGGTGTGCCGCTCTGGACATTGGTTTTGGACTCTTTCCATTTGAAAAATCACCAAACTCAGCCAGCACCTTGTGGCAGTCATGGAAGAGATATTCAACTTTCTTTGAATATATCCTTACAATGCCCACAAGAAGGTGGCCCAAAACCCTATAAGTGACTACAGGTACTTCATCTAGCAGAATTTTATCTGAATGATCAAAGAAAAAGCTCTGAGATAAAGCATAATGAAACAGAACTACTGGCAAACATGCTGGTGCTTGCATAAAGAAATAAAGGAAATGTCTTCATTTTATTCTGTGATAACAAAATAAACCATAACCCATTAGAAAACATTAAAAATAGTAAAACCTAGTTTTATTTTAAGACCAATTGCACTTCTTTCCTAAAACAGCCATCACAGTGCCTATTTCCAGAAAAGAGCGATCCTTTAAGGAGAAACCGAAACTCTGTTTCACGGTGAACTAGCAGACCAGAAACACCGCTAATTAAGGATCGAATATGTTACTGAGAAGAAACAAGAAAATGAGGGAAAAGTAGTAGAAAAGAAATCAAGTGAGAAGGGATCAAGAGAAGACTTGCCTATTGAATGAGAGATGTTGGTCTGGATAACTTGGGATTTATTGAGGCGTTTATGGCAATGGGCAGCAATCCAAATATTCCCTAAATGCCCCTTCTTCGAGAGAAGAACATGCGAGTAGAGCATGTTCCCTGCTAGCTACCTTTGCAGAAGAGATGGAGAAGAGCAGGCTGACCCTCTCTTTCGTCTACCTTTGTGGCTGTGTCCCACTCTTCCTCTTCGTTCTCTCTGTATTTTTTTGAATTCGAAAGATCCTGCTTTGCCGTTGAGGAAAAGATTGCCAGGTACGCTTAGAAGTAGGACAAAACGGTCGTAGAAAATGCCACAAGCTTGAAGCTTGTACGGGAAACATCTAAAATTTTCATTTTTTTTCTTTTTAAGTGTAGGATTGTACGGAGTAGATTTGTGGGTAGGTTTCTGCTGCAAAAAAGCATTTTTTAAATGTATTACTTCCCTCCCATTTTACATGTTCCACTTTGATTTGACACAATAATTAATAAATTGATTGAAAAAATAAAATTATAATTGAAATATGAGTACAATAAAATGAAATACTTTCTCCGTTCCTTTTTAATTGTAACAGTCAACATTTCACATTTGCCAACGCACAAATCTGACCATTAATAACTTTTATTCCTTATTAGTAAAAAATTTTAAAAAATTCATACTTTGAAAATTTTGAATAAGAAGAATTTAAAAATAATTTTTGAAAATTTAATTTATAATACATTATTAAATAAAATATAATCAAAATAGAATATGTGATAGTGCAAAAAGTCCATGTTGCAATTAAAAGAGAACGGAGGTAGTACTAAATATTTCTTTCCAAAAGGTTCAGGTGGAGAGTGGTTCCAAAATTGCTATTTTGATGTATGTTGGGTGCTGAAGCTCGATGTTGGGAGGAAGAGATTCAGAAACCCTCCTTAGAAGCTTTTTTCTTCACCTGATCTGAATGTTTTTTATCTGAATTTTTTAAGTTCTGATCTGATCTGATCTGAATTTTTTTTATCTGATCTGAATCTTTCTGATCTGATCTGAATTTTTCTGATTTGATCTGATCTGATCTGAATAAAATAAGAATAAGAAATAAGTAATAAGATCAAGACGAAGAGAACAACTTCTTAGTTTAGGCAACAAGGTGAAATTCCAACATGTATTGCATGAAGGCAATTCAGTAGCCCACTACCTTGCGGGAGAGAAGTCGGCCCAGGCTATGATATTCTCCGATCCAAATGATCTTCCTTCTATTAGATTTTTTTTTAATGAAGGGGGCTTATATTAGAATAAAAGCATTTAGCAAGGATCTGAAATAACAAGAGTACCACCAATAACCATCCGCCCTTGGGCCAGACTCTGAGTTAACCACCTTCACAAAAGCAGTATAACTCGCTGATCCTAAACTGGGCATAATTGAGCCAACAATGGTTACTGCAGCACACTCATCACCCGAGCCTAATGCAAGAGTCTTACAAAAATAACCATAACGAAAAACAAAAACAAAAACAATAGTCTGACCATCAAACAAATCAAAACAAGCAATAATAAAATAAGCACCATCGTGTAACTTCTGCACCTGTAGCTTCACGAACACATCAGGCGGGCCTAGAAGTTGAGACCCGCCTCCTCCCCGTTTTTTGTGTTGTCTAGTGCCATCTCCTCTCCTGAGTTGTTTTCCTCTGCCGGCTCCTTCCAGACTCTCCTGCGCTTTTGATCCACCGTGACCTCCCCTGCACCGCTTCTAATCTCTTCCTTTGTGCCACTACTCTCTGACTCAGCTATACTTCCCTTACGTCCCTGTCTCATAGTACCTTCTTCATCTTGTTGAGTCCTCCAGTGTCGGCTCGGACCTCCCTGCTTATCACCCAACCACATACCACCCCTCGTGGGGCTAATCTTTCCCCCACCACCTGCTCTAAGATCAGCACTAAAGTTTTTCTCCAAAACGAGATCCTCCACATATTTCAATGGGCAAAATTTCTCAGAGTGTCCCATAATCCCACAAATGAAACAGAAGCTTGGCAATTTTTCATATTTAAAATCTACCCAATGTCCTTCCCCTCCCTTAGTCAAAGTAGAACCCTTTTTTAGGGGCCTTCTTACATCCAACTTTATCCTAACCCTCAAGTAAGAATGCCATTTTTCCTTGAAGTGGCTTTCATCAAAAGTCAAAACTAATGAATTCCCCAATATAATTACCCACCCTTCTTGCAGTATCAACATTCATAAACTTATATGGCACATTGTGCACTTGCACCCAGAACTCTGCTTCAAATAAGTCCATTTTATGTGGTATATCATTAGGACCAACCGCCTTAAGCAGTAACAGATTTCGCTCAAATAGCCAAGGGCCATCCTCTATAACACGACTCATATCAATTTTATGATTAAAAGTGAAGAGATACCTCTTTTCCTCAATTTCTTGAACTGTCATTCCTCTTCCTGGCCTCCAGAGTGATACAACCAGTTCATGTACTGCCTGAAATCTGACTTTCCGGTCAGTGATAATAACTCCCACCACCGGAAACTCCTCCGCCTTCGCCTTTGGAATGGTAGTTTCTTCCTCATCATCATCAAAAATCAACCTACTGTTTTCTTTCTCCAAAGCCAAGCGTCTATACTGCTCTACCACATCTTCCATAGTTGAAGACTTCGTCCGCCGATATGCCTCTTTGAGAAAAACTGATTGCTCAACTGCCCCTGCGAATGAACTTCGTTCGTCTCAAAAGCCAAACCGAGAAAAGCCAAAACCAAAAACAAATCCGAAAGTTTGTTCGAATTTGGTTAATGAAAACAGCACCGCCTTCTTCCGTTTCACACCAAAAGGAAGGCTGAAACGAAGAAGGGAAAAATCGGAACTACTGTAGACGGCGGTACTGCCTAACCCTAGAGAGAGATTATTTGGCTTGTTTCTTGTTACATCCACTAGGGTTTTTTCCTATTAGATTTATTAATTCATTTATTTTATTGGGTAAAGTTTGGTCCCCCTATATCTTCTTTTTTCCATTTTTCTATTTTTTCTTTGTATCTTGAAACTTGAAAGAGTATGCCCTTTTTGAAGAGGTTATGGTCTTGTCCCCCTTCTCTTGTACTTCGTTTTTATATAATAAAATTCGGCAAATGTTTCTCGGCATTTGTCACACTGATTTTGATGGTTTGTCATCCAGGCTTGAAAAAGTCTTTCCATTTTATCTATTCTTTAGAACAGATAAAATGGAACGAAAGGAGTAGTAAAGAAATATGTAATATGTAATTCCCACCTATGATGTATGCATTTTTGTCAAAGATTTTGTATTGCATACTAATATAGGACGGAAAGAGTATAATATTACATACTCCGTAGTTCGTACTACATAAGATGTAGGGGAAATTCCCGAAATAGGACTATAAACGTTTGAAAATTCCAAAATAGGATTGTCATGTTTTTATTTCAAAAATAGGAGTAATTACTGTCAAGTTTGGAAAATACTGCCATCTTTAAAGCCTGGTACTGCCAAAACATGACAGTAATTACTCCTATTTTTGGAATAAAAACATGACAATCCTATTTTGGAATTTTCAAACGTTTATAGTCCTATTTCGGGAATTTTCCCCGGGGAAATTACCCTAAATAGGACTAAAAACGTTTGAAAATTTCAAAATAGAACTGTCATGTTTTTATTCCCAAAATAGGACTAATTACTGCCAAGTTTGGAAAATAGGATTGTCATGTATGGTATGTGTCTCATCATATCTAAAAATACTAAAAAAGAATCGTGTTCATTTAAATCTTATGCAAATACAATAAAAGTCAATCGATTACTCCTCGAATTTTGGTTATTCTAATTGTTTACCCCTTAATCAACATTAGTCTTGTTTAACTTCACATATTAAATTTAATGAAAATTGTCTCAAATAAATGTTATTAAAATTCAAATAATTCATCATCATGAATATATGTCATACGGAGTAATTGTTGCTCATTTTTCTTATTTGTTACTAGTGGAGTCAGATTGTTGAATTGTACGTAGTAAGACTTAAGAATAGGACTTGTATTAATGAAAGGGAAATGCTAAAAAAAATTAATTAAAGGTTACAGCAAATTTATTTGTGTATCTCATAACTCATGAGTAATATTTGTGGTTTCCCTATCTAAATTACTTTAAATAATATTTCTTACACGAGAAGCTAAGTAGATTGAATAATAGATTGACTAATGATCAACATTTATGCTCAAAATTTATGGTGGTGAATAAGTGAATTGTTTAGACTTTCAATTATACATTTATACTACATATATAATAAAACAATATTCATTGATTTTGATAGTTATAATTAATTTGAAAATGCAAAATGCATTGATAATTATGGCCAAACCTTAAGTGGTAATAATAGTTTCCCTAACAAAAGTTAGAACTTACTCCGTTACTTAAAGCTTATATGTTAGATTTTAGAAACCAACTTTGTGATCAAATGTTAACATCTTTTCTTTCTGGTTACAAGTTACAACTTGTCTATCATCAACCTTCATCATACATTCATACTCCGTAGTATACTAGTAGTACAAAAAGTTGATATTTTGATAGAATGTAACAAAACGAATTTAACAATATTCATTTGATACGATTTAATCTTATAGTGGAAATGAGACATATTCATACTTTGAATCAACACTATAGGTGCAAATAATTATATTTTTTATTTACAATTATACCTTCATAATTGTATAATGTTTGTTCCCAAATTCCCAATCTTTCGTATAATCTTATCATTGTTTAACTGCACTCATAATTCATAAAGGTGTGTGTGTGGCAAATATCTGTATCAGTGATGCATAAATGGTTGTCTAAAGTAGAGATCAATTTAGTTGCGATTATTGCTATACGAAATGAACCTAGATTAAACTCGATTTCGCTCACATCTATACTTAAGTTTTTGTTTGAGTGTGAGAAAAAAGCATTCCATTTAAGCTCAACTTGATAATAGTTGAGCTCTCGGGTCGGTAGTCGGTACATTACTGTCAAAATCAACCTCAACAACAAAAATAACAATAATAATAAACAACGATAACAAAAATAACAACAATAATAATAACAAAAATAACAACAATAATAATAACAAAAATAACAAATTAACAATAATAATAACAACAATAACAATAATAATGTAGCCACTAATAAGGCTGAAAATAAAATAGTAACACACTCCTTATGAAATTCACATAGCTAGGCCTTGAATGTTTGTGATTGAGAGAGAGATAGAGAGGAGCTCATACAATTAGAGCTCAGCAAATGTAAAAACATTTAGCATATCACTCACCAAAAATATGAAATGTCACAAAGATGGATTGAGAGAAAGATTGAACAATGTCACAACTTTTATCATCTACTGTAGCTCTTCGCTATAACTACTTACTTGTACACACTTGGTAAACAAAACTGGTTGGACCCACAAAAAATCTGCAGCTCTAATATTTCTATACCGATTACTGCAAGAAACGATTCTGATCAGCATCACGCAGTCAACTTCTGAGATGTAGAAGATGATGAAGTGACAACGTTCATATGCTGAAGGTGCAAAGCAGCCAGGAGGCCTTGCCATGTTTCTCCTGGAGCTCCAGACACTTGGAAATCCAGTAGCTTTCTCTGCTTCCTGTAGTGTTCTTCCACTGGTTTGCTCTAAAAGCAATAAAACAAGATCGGGAAAAACGAAAATTTGTCAATACTGCAAGTTACGGAAAACTGCCAACCTGAAGAAACTAATGCTAAAAGGCCTTAATGAACTGTAAAGGACACTCTTAGAGCGTTAATCATAATGATCTGTCAAAACAACAACTGATCTCTATATATATAACATGGCTAGCTAAAAGTAATATACCTATAACAGTTGGGTATCACCGAGATTAACGTTTGAAGAGCATAAAAGGAAGGTACCTGCTCTGCATAAAGACGCAACTTCTCCCTCCCAGCAGCTTCCGGATAATCAGAGAAGTTCAAATTGTCATTCTCTTGCTTTTGGCCGAGATTGAATTTGGAGGAGGTGGACATGCTGAGAAATTCTTTACACAAATAGATCCCACCACTTGCACCTTTCTTCACCGTGGAATCCTCTATGCACTTAAGATTCAAAACCAAGTCAATGTCTACGACTTGGTCCAGCAACTCCTGCAGAAGAACCACACAATCAAGATGGAAACTTACAAGCTTTCATACCATGTCATGGTTTCAAATAAGGCTGTGTTACTAGCAGATAACACCTTTAATTTTAAAGGCAGAAGGGGGAAGTATACTTACAGCTTGGGCCTTTGTTCGAGGAATCCCATCCAAAATGAAACCACTTTCACCCCTGCGGTGTCCTTCTTCCAGTCTCTTCGACAACAGCCTAAAAATTACATGAGCTGGAACAAGCTTCCCCTCATTCACAGCACTGGCTATCTAAAAAGAAAAAAAATCATTTGCAGAAGGAAAAACAAATAAGATTAATCAAACAATAGGCAAACGTCTGGAAATTCAAACTTAGGTTTGAACAATAGATTGAAATGGTTAGAATAAAATGAAATTGTTCCTTCGAGCTATCTTCCCCTGAATCGACAGAGTTCACAGATCATCCGATTTCAAGTAGGAATGATCAAGGTAAATAAAAACAAACCTGCTTGTGCAGAGAAGAGTGTGGATTGAGTTCTTGTCGGACGAGAGAGCCCATGGAAATATGGGGAACATCCAGAAGCTTAGAGAGCCCCTCGGCATAGACGTTTCTCTTCGCCATCGGGTCACCTATAATCACCCACTGAACTCCTCTACCGGGAAACGATCCATCAGAATCCTCGAGGAAACGGGCCGAAAGATTTCCGGCGCGGTCCTCTTCATCCTCGTAATAATCGTAGTCGAGCTGAAGCGCCGCAGCTGATCCATATCCCCGGTTCGGACACGAAACACGAGCAAGCGGATGCGCGGCGAGCCTCAGGCGACTGAACAAGGCCATTGCCGGCGGCGGAAGTGCAATTGTAGAACCGGAAAGTAGGAACTAAGAACAGAGAGAGCCGCCGAAAAGAAAGGGTTTCCAAGGAGGGTGAGAATTGGGGTTTAGAGACAGGAGCCCTC